TGGCTTGAGGTTGCAGTACAGAAAGTTCCTGTGGAGCCAGGTGTATTGGCAATAAAATCTTTCCAACCTGGCAAAAGTCACAGCTAGAATGTGATGGCTTTTGCTTGTTGATACTTAAAGGAGAAAGGGTGGGGACTGTGGATATAGGGGCTCGGAACTTTGCTTCCCTGTGACTGGGAATTGAGCCAGTTCTGTGACAGTGCCTCCTTGACAGCTGAAAACCACTTCTCTAAGCATATACTGTGGGTTCTCTGTGATCCTAATTTTCCAGCACCCCCTTTTTACCTCTCCAACTTCACATACTAGCAGGTACAATCAAAACTTTGCTCGATTATCCTGGCCTGCTGCTGGGAGGAGTTTCCGGTCCTTGGGACCTCCACCTACAGACCCCCATATCTGTACTTCACACCTACCCCAAGTCCAGCAGTGATAGGACAAGTGGTACTAAGGGAAGCTGGGAGAGGAAAGATAATCTGCAGGCAGCTCTCTCCTCTGTTCCAACGCCTCAGCTCCTTTCTCCTCCCACCCCCTCCTCCCCATGGAGGTAGGACCCCAGATTCAGTGACTGGGAAAAAAGTTGGACTCTGTACTAACATGCCAAATTCAAATTCTCGTCATCTTAGCTATAGTGGCTAATGTGGTGCTAATTTGGGTGCTTTCTAAGTATGCTTTCTGTGAGCACCGTGCTTTGACAGTCAGTATATTGAGCACGCCTATAGAAAAGTCAAGCAAATATCTGCTTTTGTATCACCCGTGTGTATCTCTCCTTAAACTGTCCCATGGTAATTTATCTACCACCACTTCCCCCAACCCTCCAGAGTAACCTATTTTAATAGGATTTTGAAACAACAGGGTGTTGTTTTTTTTTATCGAGTTCTTATAGATTCAAAGAAAGAAGAAGAAGAAGATTCACTTTCCCCTGAATATATTTATTTTACTGCGAGCAAAGTTGGCTTCCATTTGGAAAAGCTGCCCTCTGTTTCCCACAGAGGGCCTTTTCCATTGCCAGAAAATCAGAAGACAGCCAGTCTGGTGTATAAAAATTCTCTCTGGCACGTCGTCAGGATCTGTTGCAAAATGAAATTTCTCCTACAGCCCTCCCCTCACGGTGACTCTTGAGTGTGTTTCTGCTTCATCTAAATCTTTCGCAATCATTGTCTTTATGGGTTCCTGGCCTGACTAAGATATTCCACAAACCCAGGTTGAGGATGACAAGAGTCCTGGGGACCACCCAGCCCATGGCTGTAGCCTTAATGAAGGGTGATAAATACAAGGCAGGTTTGTCAATACCCTGAGAGTAACACCAGCTGCAGGCTCCATAGGTTTACAGTGACCTCCCTTGTCCTTCAGGCATTTAGAAACAATGTTGCAAAGCCTTGCTTCCCGGTCTGGGGAGAGCTGTTAAACCCTCTGATAAAGGCCTTACTTTTCTAGGTGAAGGTTTCCTCCCTGGCTTTATTTAAAGTATATCAACAGGTGCAGAGTGTGAGGCAAAAATTTTCTGAATGTCCCATTTATTTATAACTGTAATTTTGTGACTGTTATAAATCATAATTAAATATCTGATATACAACCCCAAAGGGGTTGAGAACCACCACTCTTAACCTTTTCAGAAGGAAAGCCAAGGTCTCAGCTACTTGGTATTGCAGGGATCCTTTAAAAAACAAAATTCAGCCTGGCCAGGTACTGGTGCTGGCCTTTAATCCCAGCATTTGGGAGGCAGAGGTAGGCGGATCTTTGTGGGTTCCAGGCCATCCTGGTCTACTGAGTGAGTTCCAGGACAGCTGGTTCTACACAGAAAAATCCTGTCTTGGGAGGAGGGGGATTCCATACTTGGGAGACAAAGGAGGCAGATCCCGTGAGTTTGAGACATGCCTCGCCTACATAGAGACCTCTAGGCCACAGGACTACATACATGAGACACTTAAGAAAAAGAAGGAAGAATTTCAAAATGTGAAATAGGGGTGTTTAGGCTGAATTCCTGTGAAAGTGCAAGTGTGAAAAGTAGATCTTAGACTGATTGAAGGTCCCAAGGGGCCAGTCTCAGCTGTGGCCCCAGGGCAGGCAGACTAGGAGGGCCTGAGAAAGCAGATGGTTAAGAGCAGAGGGTGGACCACAGAGAGCGCTTGTTTTCACGGGAATCTTTCTCCAAATTAAACCTGCTTGCTGAGGAGGAGTGGTGTGTGCACACATCATGTGTGTGTACACTGAAGCTTTGCTTCCAGGGGAGCAAAGTTCCTTGCTACCTCTTGATCCCCTTTCCATCAACCAAGTGTTTCTGTTGAAAGCCTGTGTGTTGTATATGTATTATTGTTTCATTAACATTGACTTCAATAACCAATACCACTGTAATCCATGCCTGAATGGAACCCCTCCCACAAATGCATGTGCTCTTCTGTAAGGCACAGCGTAACTTCCTATGCTTAAGACACGAGACGATCCTTCAGAACCACATCTAGGAACCATTCTTTACCATATCCCCAACAAAAAGCATCAGAACAGAAGAACCATGGCATGAAATACCATGAATATTCTTTCTAAGAGCTGAACAGGCAGGCAACATGTGATTTCCTCCTGTCTCAGCAGGGAATATTAGATACAAGTGCAGAAACCCTAAATAGCAAGGATCATCGCTATTATCTTATTTATATGCATATATTACATCTCAAATATAATATTTGAGGTGTATATAAGTTATTTTGTGAGACCTCTTTTTAGCCTAATAAACAAGCCCTTCTGCTAAGTATAAGCCTGCTGACTTCACACTAGACATGTGCTGAACCAAGTCTCCTACTCCCAGCAGTTGACTGACTTTATCTTTAATTAGGATAAAATGAGCCTAGATAAATGGGTAGATCCTCGGTATCTGGGATAGTGCCTTGCACTAGTAAATATTAATTTAAAATTCTACCAGGGCTGTTTAAAAGTAGTAAATTACCATAAAAAGAATGAGATAATGAGTTCTTAAGGATGACAAGTCTCCTACTATGCTGCCCTCCTTGTTTTTCGCCTTCCAGGGAAGGCACAGTGTAGCTTCTGTCTTGATCATGTCCTGAATTATCTCTGGTTCATAGAAACCAACACAGTGTCATAGGCTTGAGCCAGCGCCTTGGTGCTGTAGGGCAGTCTGAGCAATGGACAAAGCACTACTCTCTATTCCCTGTGCCCTCCCGACCTCTTCTAGAAGCTCTCGTAGTCTCTTAAGTGTGCAAGCAGAAAAACATTAAAAGGAGCCCTTTTACATTACTTGTGCCAAGGGGAATCAGGGTTAGTTTCTGCCGATTGAGTCCCTGCCCCATACTCAGCAGCTGCTGGAGGTCTTTTTTGAGACTCGAAGTGTTAAAACCTCACCTCACTCTTACTTGTTATTTGAGGTAAGGTAGTTCTCCTTCTTATACACATGTTAAGGAGCATTTAAAGCATATACAAAAACTTAGCAGCAATTTCGTAATAACGGACATGTGGTTAGAGGTCGGTTTGTCTAATTCTGATATTCCTCTCATCTTTTTAACCAGAACAGTGTGAGAAGGTGAGCAGGTGAGCTGGTAACCTTGTTCAGTTGACTTGAACCTAGAAGGTCTAACAGCTAGAATCCCATATCCAGAGGTTTTTCCCAACCTCTGAGTTCAGGATCACGTGTCTGCTCTCTGAAAATAGACCCTGGCCTAAGGTGCAATGTCAGTGCTGCTGTCCTACTTTTGTGTCCCCTAACCTGTGACTTAGCCCTCTTTGTGTTGTGCCACGGGGTGGATCCTGAAGTATAAAGTCTCCCCCAGACGATCCACACCAGGGGAACCCATGGCTGAAACATTTCCAATCCTCACTTTGCTCTGCATTGTCTACATCCAGCACTTCACCACCACAACTGTCGGAAGCTCAGTAGACTCCCCTCAAAGGGAGCATTGTGTTTCCAGTAGCTGATGGGAACGTGTTATTCTAAATCTTGCTTAGGGGATGTTCCCAGATTACCAGGGGAGCGGCAAGAGGTGCAGCTGCTAGGGAGTGATGAACAGGGCTGCACAGACTCTTCCAGCATTTCAGCACCATGAGCTCAGTGGGAATGTGGGTGATTTCATTGTCTTTCTTTGCAGAAAAGAATGAGCAACAAAGAAAGCTTCCACTAACAAGTATGTACTGTAAATGGGAGCAAGTTGTTTTGCCCCTGTGAACACATGGTAACAAGACCCACCCCCTTAGAGGGTTTATGAGAGAGATGTGATTATACAAATAAATGGAACGTTCTACCATCATGCAGATGTGCACATCTGCCCAGCCTCACACCAATGAGCTCTATGTGATTAGGGATTTTCAATTTCCATTTAACTAGCCACATGGACTCCCATGATTATAGTGAGTACAGACTGGGAGTTGCTTATAATACTATGTTACAGCATCTGAAATTTCACTCAGTGAAGCTCTAGAGATCATGGTACCCACTATCCTGTTGGCCTCCTGTCCGCTTCCCAGGTAAGGCTTTTGCGCTTGTTGTGAACTCAGCATAATAGTACTAGTGCTACCGATATAATTAGTTTATCTCTGATAAAACCAGGAGTGCTGTGTGATTTCGTTAGAGCCGTGTAGACATGTAGCATTGCTTTTGAAAAGGGGTTTTGCCTTTGTGTCTCTTCAGTGCCATGTACCACCATGCCCAGCAGCTTAGGCTTTTAATTTTGAAACAAAGTCCTCACTTTGACTTCAGGAACTCCCAACTGTCTTCTCTTTGTGCACAGACATTGGATGATGGTGTCATACATACATCTTGTACAACCTGCAAAAGTTTGATATCCAGGGTTATTAAAATATATCTTTACAAAACAAAAGGAGAGGGAGAAAGAGAGAGAGATTGTGTGTGTGTGTGTACACATACATGTGCGTGCTAACCACTAGCAATTAGGCGTTATTTTATTAAACTAAAATGAAACAGCAAAGCATTACAATAAAGCTTCTAGACCAGCAGAGACTCCGAGCTGCCTCCTCATGGTTGTCATCTCTTCTCCTAGATGTGACATTTGCTGTGTAACCTTCCGCACACATCGAGGACTGCTGCGTCACAATGCACTTGTCCACAAGCAGCTTCCCCGAGATGCCATGGGAAGACCTTTTATCCAGAACAACCCTTCGATTCCTGCTGGCTTCCATGATTTAGGATTTACTGACTTCTCCTGTAGGAAGTTTCCTCGAATTTCTCAGGTATGCTGATGGACCCATGCAACCTACCGCTCCCTCTACATTCTGTGCAGCTGTGTTGGGTGGAGTGGTGGTATTTTCTGTAATGTCGTTTTGCTAAAATCCAGTCTGGCCCCCTTGGGTTTCTTGGACTGAGAGGGATCAATGGTTTTTTTTTTTTTTTAGGTTGTGTTTTCCAGGAGTTTTTGTGAGGATGCAGTGCCTTTTGCCCACTCTTCAGGCTTTGAGATTTAAAGTTGTATACTCACCACCCTATCAATTGTTTACCACCCCCATTGCAATTGTTAGTGTCTGCTCTACAGCTAGGTAGATTTTAGCAGATTCTATTAAAATACATTGAGGTTTTTTTTTGGGGGGGTGTGTGCGCAATGCATGTATGTGTTAATATCTGTCATGTGTATGTGGATACTCCTGGAAGCCAAAAGAGAGTACTGGGTCCCCTGAAGCTGATCGTGAGTGGGCGTGAGCCATCTGATGTGGGTGCTGGGCAGCAAACTCAGGTCCTGTGGAAAAGCAGTAAGCATTCTTAACTACTGAGCTGTTTTTCCCAGCTCCTTGGATCATTACAGATTTGAATAAACCCATGAGCCAGTTTGTTCCTTTCCTATATGTAAACTACCAAAATCACTTTGTAATTTTTGTCATGCATGAAATTGAGACAGGAAGCATCCACATAGAAGTAACACATATGTACATGCATGACTTTCCCTGGTGATTTTTGTCCCCTCTCCTATGGTCACACAAACAGCCAATTCTCATCATTTTGTGAAGAATCACCCTGGCTTGTCCTCCCAGCTAGTCTGGCACTGCACAAGCTGGCCATTCTCCTGCCGCAGTCTGCCAGGTTCTGGCTTTCTGCTTTCCAGTGTAAGCACTCTCCCTTTTTTAAAGGCTTAATTCAAGCTCCCTCGCATGTTATTTCACTGTACTTTTAGTATATCCCTTGTGGCGGTGTCCTTAATCAAACAAGCGTGATTCTTTGGGGCTTGTCCATCCTTTCGGAACCTGCCTTGCTTTGAGGCAGACACCAACCCTTAAAACAGGGCTTTGATGGGGGTCGTGACCCACAGCTTTACGTCCCAGAGCCTGCAGAGAGGACAAAGGCACCAGTGAGCTAGATCCACAGAAAACTCAACCTAAGATCACGCATCCTTCTCAGCCCAAGAAACCCAAGGAGGAGAGACTGGGTCTGACCGGATTTTAGTGAGAGAAACGACATTTGGGAAAATGACAAAACACACACACACACAACATTGCAACAAGACAATGCTATTTAGAGTGCTGACACTTGTGAACTGTGCAGTGGGGTGACAAAGAAAACTACCCTTTACCGTATCCCGTTAGGTTCGCCACTCTGTGTTTGACTGCATCTGTAGGTGTCCATGGCCAGACTCCCGCTCGTAGGTTGTCGGTTTCCTAATTCAGTCTCAGGCTCACACTGAGAAAGGTCGGCTCTGTGTTGATGAAGTGGACTGCTGTTACACAACAGACACTTCTCACATCTCCTTCAGGATCGCTTTAAAGCCTCACCTTTTCTCCCTTGCTTTTGCTGGTGGGTCTCACTTAGGCCTGGTGTGAAACAAACCTCCGGAGGTGCATCAGCGAGCAGCACCGGTTCGTCTGCGACACTTGCGACAAGGCGTTCCCTATGCTGTCCGCGCTCATCCTGCACAGGCAGACCCACATCCCTGTTGATCAGGGCCAGGAGAAGCTCCAGACCAAGACCCTGGCTGATGATACCGTGGACCAGAAGGTCTTCCTGGCCTTGCTGGGCCTGCAGCACACCAAAGACATCAGGCCTGCACCTGAGGAGCCCCTGCCGGACGACAACCAAGCAATACAGCTCCAGACACTCAAGTGTCAGCTACCTCAGGACCCTGGCTGCACCAATGTGCTGAATCTGTCCCCTTTTGAAGCTGCTTCTTTAGGTGGCTCTCTGACAGTCCTCCCAGCTACGAAGGAGGGCATGAAACATCTATCCCTGCAGCCCTTCCAAAAGGGCTTCATCATCCAGCCGGACAGTAGTATCGTGGTTAAACCTATTTCAGGAGAGTCGGCCATTGAGCTAGCAGATATCCAACAGATTCTAAAGATGGCAGCTTCCGCTCCTCCACAAATCAGTCTTCCGCCACTTTCCAAGGCTCCTGCCACCCCCTTTCAGGCAATTTTCAAGCACATGCCTCCTTTGAAGCCAAAGCCATTGGTCACACCCCGGACAGTGGTAGCCACCTCAACACCCCCACCTCTCATCAATGCACAGCAGGCGTCCCCAGGCTGTATCAGCCCTAGCCTTCCTGCACAGTCCCTGAAGTTCCTCAAGGGGACAGTTGAGGCAGCCTCCAATGCTCATCTGCTCCAGTCCAAGTCTGGGGTCCAGCCAAACACCACCACACAGCTCTTCCTGCAGCAGCCTGGAGTGGAGTTGCCAGGCCAGCCTGAGATGAAGACACAGCTGGAACAGGACAGCATCATCGAGGCCCTGCTGCCCCTAAACATGGAGGCGAAGATCAAGCAGGAGATAACGGAGGGTGACCTCAAGGCCATCATGACTGGCCCCAGTGGCAAGAAGACCCCCGCCATGCGCAAGGTGCTGTACCCCTGCCGCTTCTGTAACCAGGTGTTTGCTTTCTCTGGAGTTCTGCGTGCCCACGTTCGCTCCCACCTGGGCATCTCACCCTACCAGTGCAACATCTGCGACTATATTGCTGCAGACAAAGCCGCTCTTATCCGCCACCTTCGCACACACAGTGGGGAACGGCCTTATATCTGCAAGATCTGCCACTACCCCTTCACAGTCAAAGCCAACTGTGAGCGCCACCTGCGCAAGAAGCACCTCAAGGCCACCCGGAAGGACATCGAAAAGAACATAGAGTACGTGAGCAGCAGTGCAGCGGAGTTGGTGGACGCCTTCTGCTCCCCAGAGACGGTGTGCCGGCTGTGCGGTGAGGATCTAAAACATTACCGCGCACTACGGATCCACATGCGTACACACTGCAGCCGAGGCCTGGGTGCGTGCCACAAAGGCCGCAAGCCCTTCGAGTGCAAGGAATGCAATGCCACCTTTGCAGCCAAGCGCAACTGCGTCCATCACATCCTCAAGCAGCACCTGCACGTGCCCGAACGTGACATCGAGAGCTATGTGCTTGCCACAGATGGTGGCCTTGGCCCCACAGACACGGCTGCAGAGGCTTCTGCCCGAGGGGAAGAGGGCAACTGCATTGCTTTTGGTGAGTGCAAGCCCCTCGCCACTTTCCTGGAGCCCCAAAATGGCTTTCTTCACACGAGCCCTTCCCAACCCCTGCCTTCCCACATCTCTGTCAAGTTGGAGCCAGCCAGCAGCTTTGCAATGGATTTCAACGAGCCCCTTGACTTTTCACAGAAGGGCCTGGCACTGGTCCAAGTGAAGCAGGAAAATGTGTCCTCCTTGCTGAACTCTTCCTCCTCTGCCCTCTATGACTGCTCCATGGAGCCCATTGATCTATCCATCCCCAAGAGCATAAAGAAAGGAGACAAGGACACAGTTGTTCCCAGTGACGCCAAGAAACCAGAACCAGAATCTGGGAAAGCTGAGCAGCTCTCTCCCTGCCCACCACCCTGCCCTACCCTGTCAGTGACTGCAGAACCCAGAGGGAGCTTGGAAAACCCCACAGGCACCGTGGTGGCCGTTACCACGGCTGCCAACCTGGAAGGCCACACGCAGCCCCTCCAGGGCTCCGTGCAGCTGGCCGTCCCCATCTATTCCTCAGCTCTCGTAAGCAATCCTACCCTCCTGGGCAACTCTGCGCTTTTGAACAACACAGCCTTGCTTCGGCCCCTCCGGCCAAAGCCTCCCCTGCTCTTGCCAAAGCCCCCCGTGACAGAGGAGCTGCCTCCACTGGCCTCCATCGCCCAGATCATCTCATCTGTGTCCTCGGCCCCTACTCTGCTGAAAACAAAGGTAGCTGACCCTGGGCCGTCCATCCACAGCAGTAGCACTGTGGCCACAGACAGCTTAGGAAGCTCCGTCTCAAAAGCCGTCACCACCCCCACTGACATCACAAGCCCTCAAGAATCCACTGACCCACCTGCTACAGCCAGCAGCCCAGAGGAAGCCTTGCCTACTGAGCAAGGGCCGTCTGGCTTATCCAGGAAGAGGGGAAGGAAAAGGGGAATGAGAAACCGGCCCCTCACCACTAGCAGCGGTGTGGACCTGGACTCCAGTGGGGAGTTTGCTAGCATCGAGAAGATGCTAGCCACCACAGATACCAACAAGTTCAGTCCATTTCTGCAGACAGCAGAGGATGACACTCAGGATGAGGTGTCTGGAGCCCCTGCAGACCACCACGGGCCCAGTGATGAGGAGCAGGGTAGCCCTGCCGAAGACAGGCTGCTGAGAGCAAAGCGGAACTCTTATGCCAACTGCATGCAGAAGATCAACTGTCCCCACTGTCCCCGGGTCTTCCCTTGGGCCAGCTCCCTCCAGAGGCACATGCTTACACACACTGGTAAGGCCCCCAGGGCTCACCCGATGGTGAGTCTTGAAAGAAGAGACTGGGGGGAGGGGGAGGCCTAAAGTCTAGGGCCCTTTTCTCATGCTCCATTCTTCTGTGTCTCAGAAGCCACAGGCTGTTGGTTTGCATTTGATCTGTGCCCATGGTCTGAGCCAGCAAGGTTAGGGTAAACAAGTGGATCAGATAGAGGTGACAGTGGTCATAGGCTCTCTCACTTCCTTCCCTACATCCCTTGCCTGACAAGTGTCAAGATTTTCTACTAAGTTAAGTATGGAGGCAATCCAGAGAAGTGGGACTTTGCATTAATAATGGTTCTGGAGATGTAATTAGCTTGGTGCTTTGACATGAGAACTCTCATCCTGGTGTCTTTTTCAGTTTGAATATTCTGTCGGGTTCTTTGCCTACCATACACATAAAAGGTAATACTGCCAACTGTGACTTGGCCATTTTTTTCTCCTTCTCTGAAGTTGCTGCACCTTCCCCACTTTTTCATTTTATTTTTTTAAAATATTTTTATTGTTTATTTAACTTTATTTTATGTGCATTGGTGTGAAGGTGTCAGATCCCCTGCAACTGGATCTTCAGGCAGTTGTGTGCTGCCATGTGGGTACTGGGAATTGAACCCGGGTCCTCTGGAAGAGCAGTCAGTGCTCTTAACCACTGAGCCATCTCTCCAGCCCCTCATTTTATTTTTTTCTCCTTTTTTGAATATTTATCATAAATGATTGATATGGTAATAATTTTAAGTTCTATTTATTGTAAAATGTCAACTCTTGGTAGAAATACTCTCATTAAAATTCTAATGCTCTAAATAACAGAGCTAAATTTCCAAAATGATATCCCAGAAATATTTTTCAGATGTCAGTTTTTAGAAGTTGAATTTTAGAAGTCTTAAATACAGGATATTTTATGCCTGTATTTAGTATTTTAGTAACCATATACCATTCATTGTAATTATAATTTTCTGGGTACTATCACAGGACTTGTATCTTTGATCATTTGGGCTTTGTACATTGAGTTAGGGTCCTTACCCTTTTGGAGTATACAATTCAAATATTAATAGATAAGACTGAAAAATCAAATTATTCTTACTTTATGTGTAGTACAGGATTGCTAGACAAACTAGAGATCACCAACAAAATTTGAATTTTAGGCCAACAAGTAATTTTTGTAGTGTTAGGGGCAGACAAAAGCATTACTTGTTGATTTGAAGGAAGTTCAAATTTAACTGGACAGCCTGTCATTGTCCTTACAAACTCTAGGCAATCAAGGTACTTAGGAAGTTCCCAACAGTATTGTGAAGGGCAGATGGTGAAAAGTGGGTGTGAGCTGCATTCTGTGTCTTTTGAGATGGTCTGGACCTTGTGGTTTCCCCCAGCCCTTCTCAGATGAATGAGAGCTCTCCCAGCAAACTGACAGCCTTCCTAGAAACTAGAGCATCCATAAATTTTTCGATTTGTGCTGGTGCCTGTACATACCAGAAACACATCCGCACTTGAGAGTCCAGCGCTTATGGTTGCCTGGGTTTTGGTTGCCAGGATCCCATCCCTGCTAGTTTAGGAACTTCTGGACCTGTTCAGTTTCTAGGACCCACGTGGTAGATGTTAAGAACCAACTCCCACAAGTTGTTCTCTGGCATCTACATGCATGCCATGGCATGTGCGTACTCATATTCATATACAGAGAGAGAGAAAGAGAGAGAGAGAGAGAGAGAGAGAGAGAGAGAGAGAGAATAAAACTACTTTTTGAATAAATTCCAGCCAACAGCATTGAGCAAAACCCAGTTTCAGCTATAGTTAATAATCATGAGAGATACTTCCTTCCATCCTGTCATCTGATCTATGGGATTATCCTAGCATCTATACTTTGTCTTGACACATTTCTCCAGTTTACCCGTTCCCTACAACGGAGCAAGGAGTCCAAATGCTAAATGTCCAAGCAGGGGCCAGCCAGCACAAACATGGCATTAGCTCTTTACCCTGCTTAGGTTCCAGGAACTGTATCTGAGGAGAAGCTGTCATCTTTCATGTCCTCTTGTGTGGTTACTACACACTCAGTTTCCTCCCTCCTCCAACTCTCTACAGGCGTGTGGTTCACTGTTCTTTCTCTGAATATGTTCTACCTCATGAGACAACGATGCCCTGTTCCTGCCAGTTTCCCTCTTGAGCATCTCGTCCTGTGTCTTTAGGCCACAGGAAGACGGAGTGCCAGCAAACAACCAGTCCCTTTCAGCTTCTGTTCTCATCTCTTCCTCCTTCCCTTTGCTCTGGTTCCTTGTTCCACAGTGACAGGTCAGGATGGTGCAATATCTGAGAATCCCCTCCAGCTGTAACATCTGGGATTCCCTAGCTCACTCACTTTCTCATGGGTGCTTTGAGCTCCTTTGCCAGCTCTGGGCTCTTCCCCCTCACCTCCTACCCTTTGCTATTGGGTCATAAGCACCGAAGTTTGAGTAAGGAGATGGCCTCACAGTGTAGAAAGCAACTGGAACCTGTTGTACTGGGATGCCTTTTACTAAGGTTTATTTTAATTTCTGTTGATGTATGTATTTGTATGTATAAGTGCACGTACTTTGCACGTACCTGCAGAGCCTAGAAGAGGGTGTTGGACCCCCTGAAGCCAAAATTACAGGTGCTTGTGCACCAACAGATGTAGGTGCGCAGAACCGACTCAGGTCTTCTTCAGGACCACTAAACCATCTCTCCAGCCCAAGTTCTTACTTTACCACTTTGCTTAAGTGGTAGCTTTGGCTACAAAAGAAGAAAGACATCTTGGCCCTGAGAGTAGAGCTGGCAGAGGGTTCGGGGAGGCTTACGCTTCTGCAGCCTGTCACCACAAACACTCCGTCTGAGTCACAGGCTAGAGCTAACCTTGATTCTCTTCAGAGAACATTTGCAGCTCATCTCTTCTGTCCTTTAGGTCTTGACAAACAAGGTCCCGTTGTCCTCAGCAAACTCTTGTTCCTTCTGCCTGGCTTTGTTCCCAGTGCCCTTCAGATAATGCCTCTCTCTTCCTTCTCTGACTGCTCTGCATGGATGAACATTGGCTGACTGGCTTCAGTGTTCACATTGGGCTGGAGGACATACAGGCCCTGGGTACAAAAGTAATTCCTTATGGTTAGAGCTGTTCTCACATACACACACACCAACACCAATAATAGTAATCATAATAATATAGGACAGTTACCAATGGTCATTTAAATCATGTGATGTGGCTGAAGTCCTCTGATGTCTTTCAGATCTACTATAATATGCTAAAAGGGCTCACCATTTTTGCATTTCTGCACGGCATACTGCTATTTTAAAAATGAGGGTTTTTTTGCAGTAAACATGTGAGCTTTAAATAATTGCGTTACTTGTTAGTTCGAGGCCCTTCCTATGATCTAAAGCTTAGTACTATCAAACTGTCTTCATCATGGAATATAGCCCGACTGTCCAAACCACCTATAAAGATAAAGCATGTAAAAACTAAAAAGTAAATCATGTAAGAGATTGGAACCTACTGTTTTCTTTGAAGTCAAGAATTCCAGCATAGTGGAACCCGGAGAGATGGCTGAGTAGTTAAGACCAGAATTTAGATCCAGCAGCCATGTAATATATCGGGCCTCTTACAAGTGTTTGTAACCCCATATCCAGGATATGCCATGCCTCCTTTGGCCTCCCACACATGCACATGTACTCAGACACACACAGACACAAATAAAAAAAATCAGTATAGTAGTAGTGTCTGACCTTTTCATCTTTTTTTAAACTCCCCTGTCTCCTTTTTTGTGCTGGTTCTTGAACCAGTACTTCATTGTGCTGCATAGCTCAGGCTCCACCACTAGACCTTCCCCTTCATTTCTCCTTTGTCTTGGTTCTCTTCTTCCCCATCTGGCCAAACCTGAAAAAGCTGCCATCTTGCTTTTTTGACAAAGAAATAGTAAAGGAAATTTTAAAATATTGTGTTCAATTATTAAAGAAAAGCAAAACAGTCACCTGAAAAATGCACAGCAGTGATGTTTCTACGGCTAGTTACCTTATGCCTTTTTTTTCTTTTTAGATGAAGGTGTTGTCTATACTTTTAGCAGAAAGCTCCTGTAGACCCCTGTCATGGAACTCACCAAACAATTGGTGGGTTCTTAGCTATTGTTCAAGGGTCCCTTGTTCGTACATTCTAATGTGCACTTGACAAGATTTTAATGTGGTCTTTCCAAGGTCTCTAAGTATGCTTGGATTGATGCAAACATTTATGACTGTCTCGTTACCCCCAACCCCATACTCCTTTGTCTACTCCATGGACTAGACATTGCCAGGGTCTTTTTCTGTTTGCTTGGCTGGTTTCGTGGGGTGGATGTTGCTGCTGCTGCTCTTCAATGCTGAAGTTCAAACCCAGAGTCTCACAAGTGCCAGACAAGAGCTGTGCCCTTGAGCTCCATCCCTGGCCCGTCTGAGCCCTGTGCTCTCAGAAGGGAATAAATGCCCCTTGTTTTCAGTTATTCCTGATAGCAATCCTGGGTGCATTGACACAGGCATTCTGGGCCTTCTTGCCCTTGGAAAACAAGCAGCTCTTCTAGCTCTTCCCAGCAGCAAGCCCCGGTGGCCTCTGCCGTGCCCGCCTTGCACACTGCACTAGTCCAAGCTTTGCCAGTATTAAAATATTAGTCTAAAGGGAAGGTCCCTGGTTTGTGTTTCCAGGGAGCTGTGCCAAGTGACTCTTCCTGTCAGTTATTGAAGGTTGCCTCCAGGTTCAAGGTTCTAAGATAGCAGCACCAGGCAGCAGCTCCACAGTTTTAGTACGTGACACCATGTCCCAGTGGAGTCCAGAAACTGGGGCCTGGAATCTGCGGCTAGAGCAGGGGTTAGGGGTGGATGCAAACGTGACACCGAGCAGTCCATCATTCCCTCCTCTCTCCTAAAGCTCAGGGTGCTGCCTTCTTCTCTCCCTCTTTCTTCTCTTCTCTCTTCTTTCCCCCCTTTCTTCCCCTCTCTATTCCTTCCACCTCTTCCTTCTTTACCTCCTCAGCTTTTCCCATTCCCCTGTCCTACTTTCTCGTGCATACATACTCAGCCCTTGCCCTTTCCCCTCCACGTCAGTCCACACAAACTCAGGACAAACCACAGGGGAGCTTCCAGTGCATTTTGAAACACAATGTTTACAATGCAGGCGGGATCAAATAAATGCAGGCCAAAGCAGAAACCTCCTCTAAGAGGGAACAAGGTCTTCTCCTCCCAACATGTCACCCTGTTCGTTCATGGCGTTGGTGTGGGATCTGGGCCTGGCGCTGGCCTAGCGTTCCTGGTGCTTCTGTATAGAGCAGAACATGTAACCCAATATAGACGTAGCCATGTGCTGGTAAGAAAAAGTAAGAAAACCTGGAAACCGTGGGATGAGTCCTCCTGTCATTTGCCAATATCGCCTAGGTAGAGGTCACTGCAGAGTTCCCTCTGTGGGAGCCACAATAAGAAGGGGTAGACTTGCCACATTGGATGGAGGACTCACTCTGACTTCTCAGAATGGGCCCTGCAGGTTGCCAGGAGTTCATGATCTCCCTTGGGGAGGCTCGAACCTGCTTCCCTGTCCCAGCTCACTCTTCACCTTCAGTGTTGCCTGCCAGGCTGGAAGGGGATGGGTTTTTCTCTGGGTTGTAGGTATTCCTTGCCATGCCTTAAGGTCCTTGTGGCGGTGTTGACACTTTTTACTGTCTTATTGAAACACGTGTATCTTGGTTTCATGGTTAACTTTCTTCTAGCCACTTGAAGACAGCTTCCGTTACATGAATGCTAAGGGAAAACGATTATTTTAGTTGTCGTCTGCTTTTGATTTTGTTTTAAGTGTGTTTCTCTCATTTTCTTAAAATGAAGGGGTGGAGGGGTGAACAAATGCCAGCAGTCCACGGAGAGTAGATCAAAAGCAACTTTGCTTTATCATTGCAGTAGAAAGTCAGATAAATGCATATTTTTTTTTCCTGCTTCAGGTCAGAAACCCTTCCCTTGTCAAAAATGCGATGCCTTCTTTTCTACCAAATCTAACTGTGAACGCCACCAGTTGCGCAAACACGGAGTTACCACCTGCTCCCTGAGAAGAAACGGGCTTATTCCCCCAAAAGAGGGTGATGTTGGATCCCATGATAGCACAGGTAGAGCCTCCAGGTGATGGAGAACCAGAGAGAGGAGGGCGCTCCCCAGAGCTCGGCTAAAGCTGTGTGAGCTGGAGACGTGCACTGTGCAGCCTCAGCTTAGGGGGCCTTGTGCCCGACTCCTGCCTAAGCTGACTGACACCCAGGCCTGTGGAGCTGGGGGAATAGTGTCAGTGCCTAGGGCACATTGGAGATGCTAAGGGGGAGAACCAGCACCTTCCTTCCAGAAATTGCCATTGTTCTGCTCCTGGAAGGCGGGATATCCGCATGTTGTATACTTTCGGCTCCTGATGTCCATCCCTGAAGGAAATGTGAAGCTCTGAAGTTTGGGGGACCCAGCTTCTGCAGCCTTCTTGAGCAGCTCTTGTCCAGTAGGCTCAGTACTGCAGGAACTGTGACCCCCGAGCTCTTAGATGGGGAGGGGGTCTTGGTGGGGCAAGGCAAGGTGTTTCTTTTCAATAATTCTTTCCCAGTATAAACCTGTCCTTGTTTGAAAGAGCACTCTGCATGTCCTTTCTTTAATCATAACTTTGCTTGACCTGGATCCGGGTATTCTCCTGTGCTGATTTGTGCTTCCTCCTTCCAACCCCTACAAGAGTCATTAACACTGCCCCATTCCTGTTATGCCACCCTCACCCCTCGGCTTCTGTATTTACTCATGTCCTCTCTTCAGTACATTCCATAATCCGACTACTCAAGTGTGCTACCTCCTACCCCCCAAAACACGCCATATAAAACCAAGCTGCTGCAGGCCACCTAGTTCACCCAGGTAGGGGTGAGGGCATTGCAGATGCGGGCTCAGCTCTGTGGGTGTTGAAAGCTGGCATTTGGTCATTGCTTGAATCTAAGCCACGGATGTGTTTATCTAGGGTTACAGTGTGTCTTGTTTCTTCTTCAGATTTGGATGGGATGGAGTACTGTGTAGTTTGGGTGGCACCCCAGCCCTGGGAGTCCGTGTGGACAGAGTGACAGTCATTCATCCCAACCCCTGAGTCCCTTGTCCTTCCCTCAGTGATGACATGTCATGGTGGACTGGATTTCAAAGAGAGCTGATCCCAGTGGGGAAGTCGGCTCTATCTCCCCTTCCCACACCTTCACTCAGGCTGTAAAAGCAATGGAATGCCTTTGGCTTGCTGGGTCCTTCTGCCCGGGTAGACCCTCTAAGGGCAAGAAGGGTCCAGCTGGTTCACTGGCTCCTCTCCCCCACCCCTGACTTCATTTCCACGTAATTCTTCTTTGAGTAAAGAAAGGTATCCTGCCATGGCTGACTCCCTGTGGGCCAAGCCCAATCTCAGGCTCCAGGAAGCCCAAGGCACTGCGGCAGCTGTCTTTGCCGCAGACTGTCCAGTTAATGTTTAACCGTCATTGCCACAGTACCTATTAGACTGGAACGTTTTCTTACAGTCTGTTTTACCGAACTGTCCTGTGATTCTTCCCTAACCAGTTCATGAGGGGGGAAGCAGCTGACACAGGGAGGGAAGTCTCTTCTGCATCCAGCTCATACTGGAGGATGTTCACGGGAACTCCTCTGCTGACAGCAGAGCTCAGTCAGAATTTATGGTCAGAGCTTACTTAGCTTTGGCACCAAGTGTTAGCCGGTGGTGTATTTACTTTTTAAGTTTACAGTTGCAGGTTTTCTTTTTCCAAGCTCTGCCCCAGAAGTTATATGGATTTTCTTAAAGGGGCAAAGCCTCTGAGGAAGGAAGTCACTGAAAGTTGTGAAACTATCCAAGGGATAAGTGTCTGTTTAAGCTCTGGATACAGCTCATGATCAGAGAGAGCAAATTTAGGAGGGAGAGACAGGTGTTGAAGGACATAAGAAGTTTATAAACTGAGCAGCTGTGACAGGAGCTCACTGTGGAGGAACAGGCTTCCTTTAAAGATTCTTTTCTGAGACAGGATAGCTCAGGTTATCCTCAAACTCAAGGATGACCTTGAATTTTTGCTCCTCCTACTCTGGAGTGCTTCCCAAGTCCATCAGCTTGGTCGGCAGGTGCTCTAACACCTGAACCACATCCTCAATCCCAGAACAGACTGTTTTAAAGAGACAGGAAGTGACAAGGAAGTTCCTGAAGTTTTTGAGGTTTGGTTTATATGTGTGTAGATTGAATTCTTTTAAATCGCTAAGTATGTTTTATGATGTCAGTGTGACTTTTCCAACCACATGAAATCTTCCATGAAAATGCACCCCAGATTTCTCCCACACCCAGGACTAAAAATAATGTGATGGGGGACAGTTTCCCCTTAAAGGGCTGTATTAAATACTCAGTTTTAAACTGAAACTCTTCCCTCTGCTGGGCAGATGTGGCCTCCCTTGAGGAATCTTCTTGGTTCTTAGTGATGCATGAAGTAAGGCATCACATTGGTAGTACCTGGACAGGACCTTTTTAACTATTCCTTAATGGAAGGCACTTTTACCAACCCCGAAGTCCTGTTGTCCACATGCACTGGTACCCAAAAGTGCTCCCCATGCTTGAACACATCAGGCAAAGTATAGGCAAAACTGTCCATCAGGTCCCGTGAGTCAGCTGCATCTGTCACATTAGCTGAGTGACATTGCCTTTCTAGGAAGCAAGAGATCCCTAACTGTGGAGATGACCAGCGGGATCTGCTGCCCTGTAGGAAGAACTGGGCACTCGTAGTCTACTGGGGTTCCTTCTGCTTCCTCCAGCAATTTTCTTTAAGTGTCATGGACACTAAGGGAGACTGATGGGGACAGAAACATTGCGTTCTTTTAAGGTTGCCTTGCCCATAAGAAGTGGTGAACTCAGCCGCCTCCATTTGAGAAGAAGCCATAGTAGGACGTCCTTTCCAGTCATCTCCTCACTCACCATATGTGAGTCTATTGTTCCCAATCAGGTCACAGGCTACCCTGCTAAACCACTCCCCCTAGTGGAAGTTTGGAGTGCAACCAAGCCACTTTTGCTCAATTGTACATCGAACTGTACATAGAATTGCCCTCAGAACTGGATCATGGGGCATAATTTTGTCTTAGTGCTAGTACTCGGATTCGGTTTCCAAATTCATTTTTACTTTTATAAGTGGGTTTTCGGTATTTGGTGTGTTTTTGTTTTTTATTTATATTTGAGACACAGTTTCTCTGTGAATTCCTGGCCGTCCTGGAACTCGCTCTGTAGACCAGGCTGACCTCAAACTCAGAGATCGGCCTGCCTCTGCCTCCGCCTCCTGAGTGCTGGAACTAAAGGCGTGCGCCGCCACCACCCAGCGTATTTTTTAAAGTTTATCATTTTAAATGCATTCAGACAGCCTGTGTAGTGAGTGCATGCTACTCTGGGCCTAAGGTGGGAGAAACACAAGTTCGAGACCAGCCTAGGATACATAGCAACCTCCTGTTTCAAAAAAGTAAGAAACCATGGTTTGCTGAAAAAATAAAAATAATAGGAACAGCCTAGGGTATACTAGAAAAAAGTAGAATGACTCATTCTGAAAAGTGCTTGACACACAGCATGAGGACCTGAGTTCAGTCCCCAGAATCCATTAAAAAACAAACCGGTAGTGTTGGCTTGTGCCTAAAATCCCTGAACTATGGTAGCAAGAGGCAAGATGAAAGAGGACCCTTGGAACTTGCTGGCCAATCAGCAAGCTTCAGGTTAGTCTCAAAAAAAATAAAATAGTGAGTGATGGAGGAAGACAGCAGACACTGACCTCTGGTTTCCAAACACGTGTGCATGAAAACACATGCACGCACACACACAATTATTCACAAAGCAAGCAATCTATGGTTGTAGAGTTTAAACCAAGTCCATCCCATAGATGCTCTCTGTAACTCCAGAAAATGAGCATAGATGTTTTCTTGAAGTCTAGCCTAGACTTAAGTGTACATCGCTCAGGATTGCTGTTTCTTGTCAGAAGTTATCTTCATGCCATGATTACTGGTTTAGTTCTGAAGTCTCTTGAGACACCCAAACAGTAACCTCTACCAAGCACAGTAAGAATGAAACCAACGAACTGACATAGACGGAGGTGTCCTCACTTGGTCGCAGGTGTGAAGTATACATACCACGTAGGACGCAAGCCCCCAGGCCCGCCTTGATGGCACGTGATCGAGCTGGTGGCCCTGGGAAGGAATGGTGGGCATATGGTGGTCTTCTACCACAGCAAGAGTCTTGACTGCCTCAAGCACTGACCAAAGATGTGTCTATCAGGGGTGCACCTTCTCTGTGTGCTGTCAAACCCCAGGTTTCCACTCGGGGCTCAGAGGAAGCACTGAAAATCTACAGTAGTCAATTGGACTTTAAGTCCGTGGCTAAACTGTCGTTTCCAGCCAGGTTCCACTTTGATATTAGAACCATTAAGTTCTTATTCAACCCTAGTAGAGAAAAGGTTATGTTTCTGATACTGTTCAGTGTGGTTATTTTTTTTTCATATCTTTCTATTTCTTTATTTTTCTTTCTTTTTTTTGTTTTGTTTTTTGTTTGTTTGTTTTGAGACCATCTCACAGTCCAGGATGGCCTTGAACTCACTGTGAGAAGCCCAACCTGGCCTCAAGCTTTTTTCTGCCGCTTTAGTCTCTGAAGAGTGCAGGTGTGCACCAGTATGCCTGGCTTTGGTGTCATTAATGTTGGCCGTGGACTGCTGTGGGCGGTAGAAATCACTGTGTACAGAGATTCCCCCTCTAGGTCCCTGTCAGCATGCTCACCCACACTCTCACAGCCCCTCAGCCACCTGCCATCCCTCCCGAATGCCTGTGCCCAGGTTTGTGTTGACGTCCTCCGCATGCATTGTTTACAGGTCGTTTTCTGTGAAACTCCTTGAGGACCACGTTTGGAAGATGGGGGGTCGTTCCTGTGTATGTTGCATGTTTGTAAAAGCTCTTCGCACTGGAAAGATAACCTTTACAACTTGGCTTCCTCAACCTCCCTAGTGCTGCCTAGAGTTTCTGGAATGCACGCCCTCTCCTGTCTGCACTGCCTGAGTCACTACACCTTCCTTGGGGTGGGGACAGCTGAATGATCTTGGGTGTGACAGTGGAGGTCAGGAGTTCTGAGGCACAAGAACCTATCTGTTTCACTGGGAATGTGAAGGCTAGTTTGGTCCTTTACAGCTCCAGGTTCAAAAAGTCCTCACTATGTTTAGTGTCCAGGCTGCCAGGGTGGGTCCAGCCAAGTCCCAGTAAAGCCTTTGAAAAGGGCATACTCAATGTCACCTCCTCTGAACCCCTTCCCTCTTTTGCTTGCTTACACAGACAGCCAGTCAGACACAGACACATTGACTACCCCAGGTGAGGTGCTGGACCTCACAGCCCGGGATAAAGAGCTGCCACCATCAGAGGGAGCCATGGAGCTCAGCCCAGCTACACAGGACCTCCCTGTGAAAGAGGCCAAAGCAGAGGCAGCCCCTCTTGAGAACCAGGAAGGAAAGGGGATAGAGGAGAACCCAGAGCCAGAGGAAGAACGTGGCAGTGTTGAAGAAAGCAGCAGGGATGCAGATGCCCCGGAGGAAGACACAGCCAGCAACCAGAGCCTGGATCTTGACTTTGCCAGCAAGCTGATGGACTTTAAGCTGGCAGAGAGCGAGGCAGGCACTGTGGACAGCCAAGGCACAGCCCAGCAGGACCAGAAGCATACCTGCGATACCTGCGGAAAGAACTTCAAGTTCCTGGGCACCCTGAGCCGCCACAGGAGGGCACACAGCTGCCAGGAGCCCAAGGAGGAGAAGGAGGCACCTGTGCTGGAGAATGAGAATGCTGGCAGAGCAGCCGAGGGGTCCTCGTCGTCCCCTGAGCCTGAGGAGAAGCCTGCCGAATCCCCAGCAGTAGATCCAAGTCCAGGAACCAGGGAGGCCTCAGTGGAGAAACAGAATGAGGAAACAGAGGGCCCCTCTGACGGAGAAGGCACAGCCGAGAAGAGGAGTGGCGGTGACAAGAGACCAAAGACAGACTCCCCCAGAAGCGTACCCAGTAAGGCGGACAAGAGGAAGAAAGTTTGCAGTGTGTGCAACAAGCGCTTCTGGTCCCTGCAGGACCTCACCCGCCACATGAGGTCACACACAGGTATGAGAGACCAAACCCAGGTCAGTTCCGGGGCTCCTTTGAGAAAACTGGCTAGGTTTGGTTGTCCTTTGAGCTGGGGAAACCAGGACTCTTAAGGAGAGTGGCATAGGCCTTCTGCTGCAATACATTGGAAAGCCCTGTTTTCCTCGGCCACTCAGTTCCAGTCTTGGCCTCCACAGACTTCTAGAACAAGAACAGTGGGCATATGTCAGCCAGATGCTAAGGAGGACACAGGGGTGTGTATGCCAGGGAAGTCAGGTGCTGGCCTGGCCTATGTTGTGAAGACCCATGTGTCATCTATTAATAGGTAGGTGGGGCCTTGTCTCTTGTGGAGCTCAGCCTGCCACCTGGGGGCTGGATCTGCAATGTCCACAGAATGTTACTTTGGCAGAGAGAGAGGGAGGGAGGAGAGACCTGGATAGAACCATGAAGCTGAAAGATAGAAGCATCCTCCCTCAGCTGTCATCCCTCCAAAGAGAGCACCCCAACTCATTGTCCATATCTCATTCCGTGCCCCCCACCACCACACACACAAGCAGCCTTGGCCCAGTCAGCTGGGCCCTACATGGGACCTTGTTCTGGCCAGAGATGTTCTCAGCTGTGGCAACTTGGTGTGTAAACTATTGGGAAAAGCCCAGCTATGCCTCCTTGTGCCGTGATTGAGGGGATTGTTGTTGGCCACGCAGTGTCTGGACAAGAACCATTCAGTCCTCCTACAGGAGTCCTTGCTTCTGGGATTCTTTTAAGATCAGTATGTAGAAGATTTAGTTGAGAGGAACAGGAGAAAAAATGTGACTCCTAGTCTTGCCAGTTGTGGCAAATAAGAGGGCTCTTCCTAGGGCTGGTGAGATGGTTTAGTGGTTAAGATCACTGGCTATTCTTCTAGACGACCTGGGTTCAGTTCCCAGCACCCACATGGCCGCTCACAGCTATCTGTAACTCCAGTTACAGGGGATGTGATACCTTTTTTTTTAATATTTATTTATTATGTATACAATATTCTGTCTATGTGTATGCCTGCATGCCAGAAGAGGGCACCAGACCCCATTACAGATGGTTGTGAGCCACCATGTGGTTGCTGGGAATTGAACTCAGGACCTTTGGAAGAGCAGGCAATGCTCTTAACCTCTGAGCCATCTCTCCAGCCCGGGATGTGATACCTTTATGCACATAAAATAAAGTTAGGCTGGGTAGTGGTGGCACATGCCTTTAATCCCAGCTCTCAGGAAGCAGAGGCAAATCTCTGAGTTCAAGGCCAGCCTTGTCTACAGAGCAAGATCCAGGACAGGCTCCAGAGATATAGAGAAACCGTGTCTTAAAAAAAAAAAGATGGCTCTTCCTGATCAGCAAGGTTTATTTATTTAGTTCTGGATGCCGGTGCATTCGTGTAGAGCATGGAGCTGGGAACCAGTGACCTTTGTGTTAACGGACATCTCGTTTTCCTTCTCTCGCTGCTCAGGAGAAAGGCCGTACAAGTGTCAGACCTGTGAACGAACCTTCACCTTAAAGCACAGCCTAGTTCGACACCAGCGGATCCACCAGAAAGCTAGGCACAGCAAGCACCATGGGAAGGACAGCGACAAGGATGAGCGGGCTGAGGAGGACAGTGAGGATGAGTCGACCCACAGTGCTAACAACCCTGTCTCCGAGAATGAGGCCGACTCAGCTCCTAGTACCAGCAACCATGTGGCCATCACCAGGAGCCGGAAAGAGAGCCTGGCCAATTCGGGGAAGGATTGTAGCCAGGAGGAGAAGACTTCAGTAGAACAGGCAGCTGAGTCCAGCCACAGCACACCCAAGGAGCAGGTGTCTCCAGGTGAAGCAGACTCCGAGAGCCCAGCAGCCCTTGTGCAAGACTTATTGGAGCTGTGTGCCAAGAGGCCTGCCCCAATCCTGGCGGCCTCCGACAGTGCCTCACAGCTCGTGGGGATGGAATGACAGCTTGCCCTGTCCCCATCGGCACACAGATAAAGCTAGCAGAGCCTCCCGAATATAGATTTCACAAGGTTTTCTTGGTGTCCTTCAGCTGTCTGGAGAGAGAGGAAAGAGACAGGCAGTGCGGTCAACCAGCTCGTGCCATAGCCTTATCCAGTGCGCATGCTCCCGGCCCCAGTATGGCCGGCTCCAGTGCCTTAACTACTTATGGGTTCTCCCATGTCACTGTGGGTGTGACACCCCCCCCATGGCGTTTTAACAAAACGTATTTTAATGAATTGTTGGGAGTATCTCTTCATTTAAGCATTAACATTACCTTTTGTGTCGGTGTGTTTGAGCTTGTTTCTGTGAACCTGTGATAGTACTGTTTGTTCTGTGAGCTGGAAACAGAAGAAGAAAGCCTAACCCTCGGATCCCCGTAGCCAATAACTGGAAGAAAATGATGTGAATTTCATGTATACATGATCAGAGGGAAGAGGGTGCGAGGCTGATTTCTAAGCTAGACTTTTTGTCTCTGGGTCACCTGGTGGAGGAGCCATGAGCTGGTCTTTAGTGGATGCGCTTGATGCAGAGTTCCAGTGTGGCGTGAGCCAAAGCCAGGAAAGAGTCTAGCTTCAACCTCACGTGTCTCCACTCTCTCCATGTTAGAAATGGTTTCTGTTCAAATTCTTAATTTACAGAGAAGAATGACCTCCTCAGCAACCTATGGAGGACCTACCTGGATGTCATTGATTTTTCCCTTCTCCCCATTTGGTATATGTTATTAATATTATTATATTATTATTATTAGTTCATCAGTTTGCTGGGCTCTGCATTCAGCAGAAACAAATGGGCAATATTTGTCCTGGGAGACCCGCACTACCGCCTGGTCCCCGCATAGCGTGTGCCCGAAGCTTTCTTGGCACACCAGTGATGGCTCTTCTACTGTACGCAGACAAGCCTTACTTCAGTGGCTGTAGAAGCCAGCAGGGGCCGGGAGTGGGCTTCCAAGTATGGCTAAGGAGTGGCTCAGAGGGGACAAGGATGCGCGTGTGGTGGGAAGCAGGCATCCAAGACACCAGGCCATGCCTGGGGCCCCTCAGAGACAGCTGGCAAGGCCTCCCAGTCTTCCTGCTGAGCCGCTGTCCAAGCCTTCCCCCTGCTGTGCTACTGTCGTTTGAAAAGCAATGAGATACTACTGCTGGTGATGATCTGAACTGCGCGTGCAAGGTTTAGACTAGAGGGCTGTCTTCCTGCACCTTCCTGCAGTGTGGGGCTGCTGCTGGGAGAGAGCAGCGCTTCCTGATTGGCCAATTTGGCGCCCCCCCCCCCCGTGCACAAAGGCAGGGTTACCATTGTTCCTGAGTGTTCTCCGTAGGCAGTAGACTTCCTTCCCTCATCAGCAAAAAGAAACCGCTCCTACTGTAGCTGACCTCTGTTCAGCACCCTGTCCTGTAGCTGAGACCCGAGGGTGCCTGAGCCACATTGCTACTAGAGCCCCTGGCCTTGTCCCTTGCCTGCAGAGCCTCAAGACTTCTCTTCGGGAGGTCTGCCTCTGCTCCTCTTCTTCCCCTCGCCCTGTGGCTCCCTGTGTTCCTCTGTCCCTGAGACATGCGTACCCTCCTGTCCACCAGTCTCTAGTGGCTAAAATCCAACCACCCTGACTTCAATGGAAGATAGATATTCTAGAGATAATGAAAAGTGATATATTTGCATATGAAAGAAAAATGTTGAGGTATATATGATTTTTAACTGTATTAGGGATGTATGAACCAGTTTAAAATTGAGATTTTTATTTACTGTAGAGAGAGAAATCAGAACCAATGACCCCATGGTCTTTTAAGTTAAAGCCAGCTCCTGCATCCCTTAGTTGTTTTTTATTATAATTACTATTGTTAGCTTCATTGTTAGTATTTGGGGTTTCTTGTGTTTTGTTTCTCTTTGCAACTCTCCACACTAAACTCATCATATTGTGGGGAGAAGCCGTGACTGAACTCTAGGCTGCGGTAAGATGTAGCAGGGATTGGCTCCCAGCAGCAGCCATAGCCGGGGCTGCAGCTCGCAATAATCACTATTGATTTAAAGCTTTATTTAGTCTGATCTATTCCTTCATAGTCAATAAGGTCTTGCCACATTTTATTAGTGAGATTGAGAGATGTATTATTTGTTTGTTGTCCTGCCCGCCTTCCTCCCCCCATATTAAACTGTGAAATTTGTGATTTGTTTAAACGCTGGGTGAATCATAGTTTAGTTTGCATGTCCAGCTAATTTGTTTCTATACATTTTGTTTGATTCTCTTTCTCCTCAGGGCTTTTACAAATATATATATATTATATATGTATATATATATATGGATCGTCTGAAAAAAATTTGAGGTGCAAATTTTTTCTTGGTTTTGTTGTTATTGTTTTGTTTTTGTTTTTGTTTTTCTCTTTAATGGACACAACGCTGAGATTCAATCACTACATAAAATACCTGGCTGTGAAAACAAAACAAAAGGACCCCATGGGGCTGTTTCCCAAGCAGCCCCTCGGATGCCTCCTTGAGTCGGATGCCGATTTCAGACAGATCATCCTCCGTGCGTCTCTTTCTTCTCCTCTCTTCCCTCGAGAAGTTGATCCTGATGATTTCAGCCCATGCATTAAACAGGAAACAATAATAACTGTAGAATTCATATTTTTCTAAAGGGAACTTAAAAACTGCTGCTACATGTTATGTACAAAACTGGTTTATGCCACATGAACAGAATCACAAGTTTGGTTTTGGTACTTTTTGTTTCTCTTTGTACTCAGTTGTATAGAACTTCCAGATTCAGAATGAAAAGAAAGCTGTTCTGTATCAAACCATCTAAGCAATAAATGTTATATTTAAAAAGTGGCACATGACCAACCTGTGAGTTCCTCCAATCCTGTCTCTAAACCTGCAGCCCACTCAGGACCAGTCTAAGTAGCCAGCCCCCATGGAGCTGTCAAGGGTTGATGCCCACCAGTGATGATGCCCTAAGAAGCCTGGGTACCCAGACAACATCTTTAAAAGACAGTTGGGGCTGGAGATGACCCAGTCAGTAAAGTGCCAGACACAGAAGAGTTGAGGACCTGGGTTCAGATCCACGGGTCCCTCTGCCAACACAGAGTGGCAGGGGGGTGCATGCAAAGACAGACAGATCCCTGGAACTCCCTGGGCAGCCAATCCTGCGAGATTGGTGATCTCGGGCTCACTGAGAGGTGTTGCTTTAAATAAAGGTGGCAGGCTGGCACAGTGGCTCAATGGGTAAAGCGTCCACAGGGCTGACAACCTGAGGCTCCTTAGGACCCACCTGGTAGAAAGACAAAGGACTCTCAGACAAAATCACAGACTGGAGTGAAACACAAATGTGGATGGGGACGTCAGCAGCTACAGTGAAATTTTGTGACGAGGCCAGATGGGGACACCTGAAAGGCAGCCGAGACAGCTGGATCTGGGGTGGCCCACACAGCCAGGCTGTTTCCTATGTTCCAGTAACTCCTAAGGAGAATGGAGGCCTTTCTTTAAGGGACTGAGTGGGCATGACATAGAGCAGTGTTTCTCAACCTGTCGGTCTCGGCCCTTTTGGGGGATCAAATGACCCTTTCACAAGGGTCACCTAAGACCATTAGTAAACCCATACCCACTTACGATTTATAACAGTGGCAAAATTACAGTTATGAAGTAGCAACGAAGTTTTGTGGTTGGGGGTGTCACCACGACATGAGCTATTTTAAAGGGTGGCGGCATTAGGAGTTCTGGTAAGCTAAAATCTTAGTGCTGCAGATTTTAGTGAGCCTAGCAATAGAAGAGCAGTCCCAGGGCTTGGAGACAGCTGGTCAAACCCATGTGTTTGTGAAGAGCCCTGTACCCTCTCCCTGGGGAGTAACCTTCAAAAGGCAACCCCTGCCGGGCCGTGATGATACATGCCTTTAATCCCAGCACTCAGGAGCCTGGTCTACAGAATGAGTTCTAAGACAGTCAGGGCTATTAAACAGAGAAACCCTAGCTTGAAAGGAGAAAAAAAGCAACCCCAGAAGAAACTCATTTGTGGGAAACTAATTTTGGGGTGTGCTATAAAGTCATTGACCGGATCACAGCATGGCAGGAGGAATGGGATTCCTAAACCTCAGGCTCCTCTGTTCTCAGCAGCCGGCTTTGATAAGATACCAAGGACCCTAACATGTCCGCAGTGCTAACTAGATGGCTCAGCGGAAGATTCTGGTGATGGTCACACACAAGCAGCTTACCCACACAGCCTCCAGCCTCTCCAGCTGGGTGGAAGGGTGCTGCCAACCACCAAGTGATGTCTAAGGCACCTGTGAGCGTGGGCTCGAGGGCCAGGTGCATTGGACGGCAGCTGGTATTCTGTTTGCTTTCTATTGCTGTGACAGACACCAAAAGCAACTTGGGGGAGGGTAGAGGGTCTATTTCTTCTCAGAACTCTGAGGTCACAGTCCACTGTGAAGGGAAGTCAGGGCAGGAAGTGGAGAGAGAGACCGTGGAAGGATGTTCCTTGCTGCCGTGCTCCCCCTGATTTGCTCAGTCTGATATTTTTACACACCCAGGACCACCTGCCTAGGGATGGTACCGCCCACAATGGGCTGGACTATCACATCAGTCACATACATCAAGAACATGCCCTAACATACCTTTTAAGCACAGTACTCAGGCAGAGGCAGGCCTAGCCTACATAAAGATCCTGTCTCCACACTAACAAGAAAAGAAGCGACCTACACTGAGTACTAGGGGTCTCTGAGTTCTTCGCTCCTCCCCCAGGATCCAGTCAACCTTGCCTGTGCGCTTACTCCTGTTCCCCGGCAGTCACTGCCCGGCAGTCCCTGGTTGAGACACTAAAAAAACCACATAGAAAAAAAAATGATTCCTTTGCAACTTAAGTTCTAACAGGGAAACTGACAGTAAAGAAAGTAGATGAGGGAGATAAAGAAGATGTGCGTTTAGGGGGAAGAAGGAACCAGGAAGAGACAGGGATGACCAACCCTGAGGAAGTCACCCGTGCAGTTGTCTGCAGAGGGCACAAAGGGAGACCTGTGGGCCACGAGCCCTGCAGGAAGCGGCGAGACAAGAATGAACCAGGTGTGGAGCTTACGGTAGACTGGAGTAGGTGGGCGGGATTCTGGTTTCATGTTGACGCTGGAGTGACAAAGATGGCCACAGGAAAACCACCAAAATGAGGTGGCAGTCATGCCTTCTCATAGGACTATGAGAAGAGGGGGCTTGTTTGTCTTTAAGACAGTTCCTCACCAGGACAGGCACCAAAACTACAGAGAAACCCTGTCTCAAAAAGAAAAAAAAAAAAGAAAAAAATATTCTTAGCCGGGTGTTGGTGGCACACGCCTTTAATCCCAGCACTCAGGAGGCAGAGGCAGGCGGATCTCCATGAGTTTGAGGCCAGCCTGGTCTACAAGTGCTAGTTCCAGGACAGGCTCCAAAAATACAGAGAAACCCTGTCTCGAAAATAAAATTTTTAAAAAAAAAGACAGTTCCTCACTATGTATCCCTGTCTAACCTGAAACTCACTGTGTAGACCAGGCTGGCCTCAAACTCAGAGATCTGCCTGTCTCTGCCTCTTGCGTGCTAGGACTAAAGCCGTGTGTAGGCACACCTGGCGAAGAGACGGGGCTGAGAATTTCAGGAGCATCCCCAGGAGGTTGCTAGATGCTAAACCAGATCCAGTGTGAGCACTACAAGGCAGTCAAGGGAAGGCACGCTTAGCTATGACTTGCTGTAGGGGCCAGGAGTTAGCTTTGCAGAGAGGTTCCCCCCTGACAAATTATCTTGGCAGGAAATGTGTTGCACCTAAGAGCCCATTTCCAGGAAGTGGCTGAGGGATGGGGAAGACTTGCTGCTCTTCTGAGCTAAGTCCCAAAGAACCCCAGCTTCCTGCCCTACAGGGACCCTTGGGTCTGGCCCACCACCCTCATGCCCACCCTTTCCCTATATCCAGACTACTGCAAGTCAGCCGGCCACCTGTGCTGAAGACCACAAACCCACAGAGATTTCAGAAACTGTTCCCTGAGGACATAGTGAGCCAGGCAGCACAGTAAGGCCTGTGGGACCGTCCTGAGCAGAAGAGAATGCCTTAGATCTGAGATCCAGACATCAACTCTGGGTGATTCAGCCTGAGGAAGATTTCTTTCGTCTCTGTTGCTGTACCATAACGGTGATCAAAAGCACAAGGAGGAAAGGTAGGGTCTTATTTGACTTAGACTTCCAAATAACAAACAGTCCATCCCTAGAGGGACCTCAGAACAGGAACCCAGACAGGAACTTTAAGAAGAAAACAAGGAAGTAGGCTGCTTTCTGACTTGCTCTAAAGGTCAGGTTTAGGTTAAAGCATGATTAGTACAACTCAGAGAAAGAAATTGGGGTTCAACCTGAAGATCCAAGAAGCAACTGTCTTTTACTTTGACCTCAGCCCGAAATGGCAATCCTGCCTCCAGAAATCTCAGAATGAGACTGTGTGTGAGAGCTGTTTCCTGCTGTTTTATGATCCTCTAGGGCTAAGATTAAAGGTGTGCACTGCTGGGATAAAAGGCATGCACCACCCGGTTTCTATGGCAGTCAGTGTGGCTGCTGGGATTAAAGGTGTGTGTCATTGCTGGCTGGTCTATAAGGCCGGTCAGTGTGGCTGTTTTACTTTCCCGATCCCCAGGCAAGCTTTATTTATAAAATACAAGTGAAATGCCTCTACATTAGGTAGCTTTCTTGTTCAATCCAGGCCCACCTGCCAAACGAATGGTACCACCCACAGTGGCCTGGGTCCTCCTATATCAATTGTCAATCAAGAAAATTCCCCACAGACATGTCCACAGGTCAGTCTGATCTGGGCAATCAATCCCTCACATGAAACCCTGCTCCCTTCTCAAGGGACTTAGACTGTGTAAAGTTGATAGTTAAGATAGTTAGTACAGTAGCCATGATGGTCAGCTAGACATGTACAACCACCCAAAGACACTACCTTCACTTTTATGGGCATTGCCCAGGATGTGGATGGACGCACAAAAGGAGCCAGCCATGAGCACCAAGTCCACCATAGTAGCCATCTGTGTTCATCACCCACACTTGATCCTCAGTAATCTTGAAATAAGAGTGGTGTCGCACTGCCTCTAATCTCAGCACAGTCTGAGTCCCCAGACAGCCAGGGATATGCGGTGAGGGGGTGGACCCTGACTCTAAATAAATAAAAAAGGAAGTTGTTAATCCCAGACTTAATGATAAGAAACTGAGTTGCAAGAACTGTGTCTAGTCGGTAGGCCAGTGTCCAACCTTGACTCGCTGGGTTTCAAGGTCGGTGCTTGTGTTAGCTAACTTTCTGAGGTTAGCAGCTTATAAGAAAAGGTTTATTTGGGCCTATGGTTCCAGAGGTATTGGTCCATAGTTGCATAGCCCTTGTCTTAGTTTGCTTTCTGTTGTTATGATAAACACCATGACCAAAAACAGTGTGGGAGAAGAAAGGGTTAATTTCGCGTCACAGTCACCCACAGTCCGTCCTCAGAGATGCCAGAGCAGGGTCCTGAGGAACTGAGCAGAAACCATGGAAGGATGCTACTGTGGAGGTTTGAAAGGAAATGGCCCCCAAAGGGAGTGGCTTTGTTGGAGTGGGTGTGTTCTTGTTGGAGGAAGTATGTCACTGGGGTGGGGGGGGGTGAACGCTTTGAGGTCTCCTTTGCTCAGGCTTTGCTTAGTGTGACACAGAAATGATCTTCCTGTTGCCTGTAAGATGTAGGACTCTCATCCTACATGATCTTTTGCATGTCTGCCTCCGCATACCATGTCCCACCAGGGCGATAATAGACTGAACCTCTGAACTGTAAGCTGCCACCTCAGTTAAACGCTTTCCCTTAGAAGAG